ATCGAGGATTCATGATGTGCACTCGAGGGTCTCCTCCACCTTAACCTAGCTCCATATATAAGAAAGATCGAGTATCAATGCATAGCCGAGAGAGGAAGAGAAAGACGAAGGTCAACTGGAGAAAGAGCGCACAAGGCTCGAGAGTGAAAGATGCAGACACAATTATAGAGACTCGCACACATCAATCACTTATATGCCAGAACCATTTAACATATTCTTACTTTCTTCAGCCGCGAAGTGAGAAATGTAAAAAAGCTAAAAACAAGGGTTTTACTTTAGCCGCGGGTTCCTGCTTTCACTAAATTTGAGAAGATGCATGGCTAGTGTTACACTCCAGCTATAAGCTAAAGTAGCTGTGCTTAAACGGTTTTCTTCTTTTTGCTAATCATAATTAAACAGTGAAGCTCTTCAATTCGGCTGTCATGCTTTATGCCTCATTATAGTTTAATCTTTCCAATGATTATTTTGTTCTCTTAATTTATCTGCAGGAATGAGTTGCTCGAGAAGCTGAGCAATCCCCATGCTCGTTGTCACGGAAGGAAATGTTAGATTCAACATGACGAAAGTTATGTGTGATCACAGCATGACTGATGCAAAGATCTAGCTAGTATAGTTAGGGCGGTGAGCACTTGTACCTCAATAGCAAGAGAAAATGACACTAGCTAAAGATTGTCACATCCTAGCTTAATGGGTCATGTTTGATGATTCTGCACGGTCAAATGTAGGGCTGTTCAGTTCAGTTCTTGTTTGAATTTAAATCTCCTTTCAATTCACATCGTCAAGACTGAGCCCATTTAAGAGGATTGTCACCACCAATGTCTTTGAAACACACCGCAAGAACTTGTTTCCAACATTCCACGTTTTTTTACACGCACAGGACGCACGTCTATAAGGCATTTTTGTTCGGCACTAAGAGCCTGTTTGTTTCTCCGTATCAAAAGCGTTTTTAAAAAAATTTGAAATTTTTTTATTTTTTTATTAACTTTAAATTAATATGTTTTTAATGTTTTCAAATTATTTTGATGTGCTGATGTCAAAAATAATTTTTTAAAAATAAAAAAATATCGTTGGCATGCATTTTGACACAAAAAGCTATTTGAGAAGCAACAGCAACCACACTTCCAAACAGGCTCTAATTCTTCGGGCCTGTACATCACAATAATATATGTTATTTTTTGAAGTTTTTTATTTAAAAATATATTAAGATAATATTTTTTTAATATTCACATATCAAAATAATTAAAAAATATATAAAAAATAATTTAAAACTTTTTTTTTTCAAGATTTTGCAAAAACATCGCGCAACCACAAAGACAAACGTTACCGTCTGTCCTTGTATGACCTACCTCGAGCTGCCACTCTCCCACAATATTACAGCATTGTGATAGGGCTTGCAAAACCCGATAGATTGCACTCCATATAAAATCCACCTCTAAAATTTTAGAAACTTGTTGCTCTAGATATACTTTCTAAAGTTAAGCCTATATTTTTAAGTCACACCAATAAAAACTGTTATGATACACCCATTGAATCTATAAAAGTTGATCACAAATACCTGTGACCTAGCTATTTTATTAGAAAATATTCAACGACCAGCAAACGAAACCGATTAGTTATATTACTGCTAGGATATTGAATTATTTTCAACAGGGTAGAAGGAAGGCTATAATACAGTAAGCTGGCTATTTAAATAAACATGACATGGTGATTTCACTGCTAAAACACAGTCTACGAAATATGACAGGCTACTAATTAACGTTTAGCTGATGATCCCTAATCCCTAAAACGAAGATTTCAACCCATTTCTGATATGTCTTTTCTGATCCAATACTAGGAGCAGAGAATTCATCGTACCTTGGAGTGAATTATCATTTGGTAAATAGAAAGGGTTGATTCTAGGCTGCTGCCACAAGTCATATATGGACAAGGAGTCTTGAAATTAAGGGCTTCATGTCGGCGATCGCTAAACAAATCATTAGATAACGTGCAGTAGACTATGGATATTGAGCAAGTCAATTGTAAAGAAAATGGGCACTTGTTTCCTCGGGCCCCTAATTAGCAATACTAATTAACTTCAACTTTTCAACGATTTTCGGCACTTCATGTGGTTTTTCAAATTTTCGTCCTCGTGAATATATTAACTAACTAATTAATTAATTAACTAGACTTGCTTATTTAAATTCAAGAGAGCATGAGGATGGTTTTTCTCTAAAATCTTGGTGTATGTCCAGGAGAGAAGAACTTGTTCTTGATATCGATAAACGACAGTGAAAATCTCCAACGCTAGAAAAATATTGATGTATAAATTAGTATTCGTAGTTCAAAAAACTAATTAATTATTTTCTATGATATAAAAAAATAATTAAATAACTCGTATCAATTTAATATTTCTTATTTTAAAAAACCTTTTTTCATGTCCAAAACAATCCATTTCACCTAATCTTCTCTTCTTTTTTTTCCAATTGTTTTCAAGAAAACAAATAAATAATAAGTAACATAAAAAATGAACAAAAGGACTGATATATAAACAAATTTAAATCCAGGGACTGGATATGTAGTTTCTAAAACTACAATGATTAACCAATTACTTTCATTGAATCACAAGTACTTAATTATAATTAGCAGTGATAAACGGCGCGTACTGTCAAAATTAGTGAGCGCCGTGAGGAGTAAGACGTAGGGGCGTTTTGTTTTTGCTTTAAACAGTGTTTTGTCATTTTTTAATATTTTTTGTTTGAAATTAATTTTTTTTATTGTTTTGGTATGTTATTTTAAAAAATTAAAAATATTATTTTTATTTATTTTTAAACAAAAAATACTTTTAAAAAAATTATTTTCCTAATCTAAACACTACAGTAAGCGGCCGGAGTCCGGCCATACCTTTGGTATTATTCTCACTGATATCCAATTATTAGAGACCTCTGACCTTCGGTTCACGTGATGATTTGATAAAGAAATCATTATTCTTCTATTAGCAAGCTAGCTAGACTTGAAAGCTTAGAGTCATTTTCTTTCGGGAGGGATAATTTTGTGGTGACGAGTCCATGGCAGCGATCGGTGCATTGCATCCTCGACGATAATGGATGGAGAATTCGATTTTAATTAGATGGGAAGCTAAGGATGGTTCTCTAGGCACTAGAGTTCAATTATTATGAGACTTTATCATCAGCAACTTACACTCATTATGGTTTTTAAATTATGAAGTTTTCAAATCTTTTTTTTAAGATCCTGGTGGATGATCGATCATTCCTCCCATTTGCTTTCCAAGTTTAATCCTGAGATTTTCACAGAGATTAATGGTAAAAATAATCCCTTTCTCAAATCACGTAAATTGACTGATTTTGGCTCAACGTTCATCGTTCTCTCGGGAATCAATGTTAGAAGTAATTAACATTTAGTTTTATTACAAAAACGATTTCAAGAGGCTATACCCTACATGTGTGTGTTACATTAAATTTTGGTTTAACTAACTTGTAGATGTTGTTTTTTTTCAAAAAAAAATGTTAAAATAAATTTTTTATTTTTTATTTTTAATACCAGTATATAAAAATTATTAATTTAATATTTTTTAAATTAAAATATGTTTTTAAAACGCAATCATTACAATTCCAAACATAAAAATAAAATTGCCTGAATGAAGTACTTAATTGATTTCTTTTTATATTCTAAAACGAGTATAGTGAAAAATGCATTAATTATACGAACAATAGGATATGGAAAAGAAGTTTCAACGACATGGAGGTAGTTTATGCAGACTTGAGATACATTAACTAGTAAGGAACATGAAGAAAATGTGAGTTGTAAAGAGAGTGTGAAAGGGTTCTTCCACTGGACAACGACCACATTTCCATCGCACATACAATTTTATTGTAGAAAAATTCTTTAAAATCGTCTTTGTTTATTGCTCGTATCATAATATGTGGAACAAATACAAAACATATATGAACATAGCATGGTATAAAAAATAAATAAATTGACATGTTTAGATGGAAAGATAAGGATGAAAATATAAAATTAATTTGTTTATGTGATAATTTTAGAATATGTTTTTGTATTTTTAAATATATATTTGGTTGAGCAATTATTTTTTAAAAATATTTTTTAATTAAAAATATATTAAAATAATTTTTCTGTGTTAACACATCAAAAACATTAAAAAACATCAAAAAAATAAAATATTTTTTAAAATAAAAAAATAAAAGTTGCCTCTAACCTTATAATAAAAAAATATTCAAATATTCTCCATGCTTATTAGTTTGGTTTTTTTATTTGAAGAAAATAATTAAATATAGGTGAAAAAATATATAAAAGAAACAACTGGACTCCACCATATTAGGAGGAGGTTGTGTTATTATTATTTTCATATCTGTAAGAAATTGGGTGATTTTCTGGCACCCTTGCCTTGTCCTATGTAAATCCAATGTGTTGACCTTTAATTAAATTGACATTAAAAACACAAGTATGTAGTTTACAAAACTGTTTTTGTTTCTCAAGTCAATGATAAAAATGATTACATGAAGAATTTCGAGTGTTTGAATGCGAGGAATTGACAGGCAAGAAAATCGGAATAAAAAAAAAACATGGAGAAAAGTGAATAATTAAAATTAAAAAAAACGCTATTGGATTTACGATAAAATTCCCAGCTTCGCTAAATTAACAACAATAGTTACAGTTATTGTAGGACTGAGGTCTCTGACCGTTGATCTAAAATACGTGTCAGCACAGAATTGTCTCAAAGAGGGAATACGTACAAGATGTACACAGGCGAAACAGTGGCATTCTATTTTTATTGGATTGCTTGGAGACCGAAAATTTGGAGTAAAATCAATCTTAATTACAGGATCGAAAGGGTCAGAAAAAGTACTGAGCGGGTTTTCCGGTAGAAAGGACGAATAAGCAAAAGTGGATGCTCTGCCACGTGGGTCCACTATTTCCCGCTAGATAAAAATTGAATGGCTGGGATTGAAACATCTTTGATTATAGGTACATTGTAACTGGAAGACAACTGTAGATAAGTGCCCGGAGAGAGATTTCCTTTTGTTCTTTTCTTTTGTCTTTCTTTTTATTTATCTACACACACTCTGAGAAAAACACTAGGAGCTACTGCAAGGAAGGAACCAGAGGGTCATTGAGGAGAAGAGAGAGGGAAAAGTAGGTTTGTCTTGAATGAGGTGGGTGTAGCTGAGTGGGGAGAGCAGCCGCAGCAGGAGCAGTGCAGTTACCATGGCGGCGTTGCAGGGCTCTAATTCCGTGCCATTATTGCTTCATTAACATTGAAGGAGAATTAAAGAAAGCTGGCCTGGCGTGGCTGGCTGGCTGGGGGTTGGTTCTAGGATTGGAGCCACAAGTCAAGAATAGTATGGTGTACCCATCCCCACTTTTCCTCTCTAAGTATCTTATATACAGTTAACAAATTCTTGAAAGTTTTTACCTCTTCTCTAATCTCCAACAAAAAAAGCTGCAAAAAACTTAGTCTCAGAGAGTCGTCAGAATCGTCAAGAAGTAATATCAGATATATAACCAACCAACAGACAAACACTCAGTTAATTGAAGTTTCTCTTAAAAACCCCACCAAAATTCAAGTCTGAAAAAACCCAAAAAGCAAAGCCAGAGTGATCTTGCAGGGTTTTCAGAGTCGCCACTTTCCTGATATTGAGTTATTCTGCTATGGATTTTCTGTCTAAATTGAGGTTTGTATCAGCTTTTGGGTGCAAGAAATGGCAGGGTGGTTCTATCTAGGTGAGAGAGAAGGGCCATCAAGCAAACAAGATCAAGAGAAAGAAGTCAATAATAGTAGTTTGTTTTTGTACAGATCATCAAACGAGGAGATCTACAACAACAACAAGGGGTTTGAGTTATGGCCGCAGTATTATCCCCAGCAGCAAAACATGAACAGCTTCTCGTTTGGAGTGGGTCCTAGTCGAAGAAATTTCTCTGATGATCACTCTCCAAGATTAGGTTTTACAGTGATGAGACAAGGAGGAGGCTTAGGGGGAGGAATGAACTGTCAAGACTGCGGGAACCAAGCTAAAAAAGATTGTCCCCATTCGAGATGTAGAACTTGTTGTAAGAGTCGAGGGTTTCAGTGCCAAACACACGTTAAGAGCACTTGGGTCCCTGCTGCTAAAAGGAGAGAAAGGCAACAACAACTAGCTGCTTTGCAACAACAAAATCAAGAACAGCAACAGCAGCAGCAGCAGCAGCAACAGTTCCGAGGAGAGAATCCAAAAAGGCAGAGAGAGAATCAAGGTGGTGCTTCCTCTCTTGCTTGCACTCGTTTAGCCGCTACCACGTCAGGTAAAGTTGTGCTACTACTACTTGTAGGAGCTCTCAATACAAACAAAGACCAACGAAAATCACCACTCCTACAAATCTATATATGATGGTGGGGGGCTTCTTTTTGTCCTCAAATCTTTTAATGGGTTGTGAAAAGAATTTTCAAGAAATTGATCACAGTTTAAGAAAGTTAGATAGAGATCTAGAGATCTTGAAGGAATAATTCGTCTAAGACTACTTTCAGTTCCTGCTACTCAACAAGTCAAGTATCCTTCGCGTGTGTAAGCATGTCCACCTCCATCGTCAGCCGCCCACCACATGCTTTTATTTCTCTTTTCACTTTTCTCTTTTCTTTTCCATTCCTTCACTGTTTGTTAGTAAAACTGACGATAGAAAAAGTTCACATAAAATTCTTTGCTTTATGTTTCTTAGTTTTACTCAAAATATCATTTGCTTTCGATCACACTAATTCTCTTCAACTCTGAGATCAATTAGGGCTTGAAATGACAGCATTTCCACCAGAAGTGAATTCACAAGCCGTATTTCGTTGCGTTAAAGTAAGCGCCCTGGACGATGCAGAAGATCAGTTAGCATATCAAACGGCAGTTAACATTGGAGGCCATGTTTTCAGAGGAATTCTCTACGATCAAGGTCCTGAAGGGCGTTACACCAGTACAGGTGGTGAGAGCTCCTCCAGTGGAGCACAACAACTTGGTCTTATAACAACAGCAACAACTAGCACCACAGCAACTACAACAAACACTAGTAATCCAGCTGCTGGTAATACTTTGTTTGATCCGTCTTCTCTATATCCAGCTCCTCTCAATGCTTTTATTGCTGGTACGCAATTCTTCCCACCCCCAAGGTCCTAGCTGCATTCTACACTAAACCTCTCCATTTGTCAAAGAACTCCATAAATTGGTGGTCTAGTAGTTTTTCTTTTTTGAAACATGCATGATGCCCTCGAAACTGAAGTAGAGAGAGCATAGGAATTTTAGAGATTAGAAATGGGGCATTGCCAGAAAGGAGAATTTGGATGTTTTGTTTTCGGATTTTGTTTCGAATTTCAATTCAGATTTCATGATATGCATGGATTTATTTAATTTAATCTTATCCGTGATGAATGCCTTGTTATTTCTTCTTTTTTTTTTTGACGTATTCTATGTGGATTCGTGCAACGTACGTTTTTTCGCCTTTACCGGCGCTATAAAGCTTTTTGCTTCTCAAAAAAAAAAGAGAGTACTTTTTCTATATATAATTTTGCTGATCTCTCTCGTTGGTTATTGATTTCTTCATGGCTGAAATATATATTGAATTGATCGCTTTCTGGTTGGTGCTGAACTCGATGCTGCTTTTTCCCCGTTTATTGGCTTGCTTGCCGGATTTCAATGGGAAGAAATAGGTTTCGTGTTCTGCTAAGCAAAGAATTTTTTTGTTTCCTGGTAATAAGTTTAGCGAAGAATTTAAAAACCCTTTTTATATATATTTAATAAAACTCTAAAAGATAAAACAAAGTATGGGCACGGGGGGCTTTGGAAGCCTTTACATGCTTTCTTACACATGTAATGGGAGGGTTAATTTTTACAGGCGTTTAGATCAACTACTTGTCTGTACAGCAGCAATATTTAGCCAGTTGAATAGACGTGCATGGACGTGACCTAGATGGTAGAGTAGAAAACGTTGATTGTGATGATCAGAAATTTTTAATGCTCTTGCATGTGATATGTGTTCTGCCTAGGCTATAAACAATGGCATGGGTTAAGGTACGTGTAAATAAAAATAGGGATTGAAGATGCTTCCATAGATTGCTAGATTTGGTACATAGGAAAGAAATAGAAAAGTTTAGAAATTTCCCTCGTTTTGTAAGATCTGGCCAATGGCATGTGCTCTCTCATTTTCTATCTATATCAAGATTTACTACTCTAGATAACACTTTATTCTATAATTATCTGTTCGTCTTTGCTTTCAGAAGTATATGATTATTTTTTGTCCCTGCTTTCTGGTTATTTAATTTCTTAAAATGCTTATGTGCATGCATGAAATATAGGATGAATCATCCGATCTCCCTATATCATATCTGAGAATTTTGATAAATAATTCGGTGGTTCTAGTCTGTCGAAGAAGGACAAAATGCTTGCATTTTTTTTTTTGTGGTAATTAAATATAGGTATCGTTGATTGCCTGCTAATATATAATGCACGACATTTGAAATGAGCATTTTACCATTTGAATTTCGTGCCTTGATGACTCCAGGTAAGTTTCTCTTGTTGCTACCTGGAGGGCTTACCTCAAATACTGGGAAGGGTGGGGGCCGGTTTGGATAGGAATTTACAATGAAGACATTTGAATGCCTATATTGTTCAAGACATCTTGTCTTTTTAGAGAGATAAAATCTTGATCTGAAAGATAGAAAATTATTTAAAAATTTCTATACATGCATGTTTCTTTATATATAGACACACACACATGAAGTCTTTTCTGATTTAATTGCCTAGAGCAGATAGCTGTGGAACCTAAGCTCGTGCACAAAAAGAACAGACGTATAATTAGACATCACGATAAGCTTAAGCAGACACAGTTACATGGTGTTGGAATACAATTACATAAGCTCAGTTTATCTAGTGTTCAAGAATAGTACATTACATTTCACCCATTAAAATCAGCATTTCAGCATGAATGAGTCAGCCGTTCGATCCAAGTCACCTGGCTGAATGAAGTCTCGCAATGAGTGCCTAGCTAGCTAGCGACTGAGTAAGTTGCTTTCATATATTTTGATCACATTGTTTGTCGGTTGTAGATTTTAATAGGGAATTGGATAGCAATGTTGAGGAATTAATCAAAGCATGAAGAAAATGGACATGAAATCCAGCTAATAACACTTGAAATAAAACGTGAGACTACGGCAATTGCATGTGTTATGGCTTGCATTATTTGACTTCTCTCTTCATCTCGGGAGTATTAATTGTTTCATATGGCCCCCATTAGTGTCCAGTTTATAACCAATATATGTCATTTCTCTATGGAAAATATTAAAACATGGTTCGATGCTTGCCAGATGGATGTGGAATGGCAAATGTGATTCGATTATTTTGATGCATCCATGTGTTTCATGAAATAAATTCCAGATCACTGATACAGCGCACGCGTATGTATATATGTATATATATTTGTATGTATGTATGTTTATAGCGTGCATGCTTGGAATGGTTTGAAAGGTGTGATTAACGAGAGTGAGAGTTGGGATTTATACATGATATATAGACATAAGGTCTTATTTCCTTAGAATTTGCGTATATATTTCTACTAACATCATAATGATAAGGAAGTTAGTTCCTCCATGCCATCGATCCAAGAGTTAATGTAGTAAATAAAAATGTGAAGATCTCACAATATACATAGATAATTAAGTAGCATGTGTGCGTGAATGTGTACAATGTTCATTCACATGCTTTTAGAAAATGCTATTACTCAGAAACTATTTTGAACTTCTAGTCATAAAAAATTTAGTCCCTAACTCAACCTTGATCATATTAAAAGGAATATTCAAGATGGTTTTTTGACCAATTAACCTTCGAAAATCGCATTCAACTTTAGCTCTCTCATTAATGCACAATTTTGTATTTTAGCATTGACCCCTTTTCAACTTTTATGGTCTTATTAGAGAAAGTTCTGTGATTCTGTGTTTCCATTGTCGGTTAGTTTTCGTCACTTGCCGAACATTAGTGGTTTAGATATCAAGTCAATTTGAAATTTTTACACCAGGAAGTAACATGGACGGTAGAAAGTGAATGGTGAAACTAAAGGTTATCTCATTCCTATCTTTCACTAGATTCTTTTTTCAAGGTAAGGTGTGTTTAAACTTTATTTCTGAAATTTTTTTATATATATGAATTAGTTTTTTTTGAATCATTTTAATGCACTAATTTAAATATAAATTTTAAAAAATATAAAAATTATTAGAACAAAAATCACTTTAAAAATAATTTTTATCACACTCCTAAACCGGTATTAATACTAGTTTCTCACTCTTAATTTACTATTCGTACTCTATTTGATAATAATAGACTGTACCAAATTGATTTTAAATGGTATTTTATTGATTTTCTGAATAAAGTTTACTGTAATTCAATAAACACCAAAAATTAGAATAGAATAATTGCATAAAAAAACCAATAACCAGTTATTTCCAAAATGAACAAATACAACCATCAAGCCATTTGCAAAATTATGTACATAGTAATTATAATTAAGGTTAGAAAATATGACAGATTAAAAGGCCTTTTGAAATATATTTTGGGTAAATTATAACAATAGGTATGAAACTAGTAAACTTTAATAGATACATGCCAAGTACTAATAATTAAATAGACTTGTACGATGACAGTTGCTAATCAATTACGTAAAAAAGATTTTAATGTCATTAATTTGTGGGTTTTAGAATCAATTATAAGTGTAAAATAAAGCGTAAATTACAAAAGTCTCCCATATAAATGAAATGTATGGATATTTATTTATGTTTTAACATGTAAGGATTGAAATGAAAGACTAAATAGATATTGTATTATATCAGATTTTAAATATACATACCAAATGTTTTTAGTAAAATGCCCTTCAAACTATAGAAAATATTTAAAACCAAATCGAAAACTATCTTTAAAAGTTCACAAATGTTTACCAAACTCACATCCTATTTTACCATATGTCAAAAAAATAAAATAACCATAAATAATAATACAAACCATTCCTACGTACGTAGCATGATGGGACATTTCACCCATACCCCAGTATTTAAACATATTCGATATATTATTATAGATAGAAGTAGTGGAAACAAACATATTTTAGTAAGGTTTTTACTTCTGCTAGATAATCGATATTTTAAAAGATAAAATCAGTATTTTTGAAAGAAAAAACGAGAAAAAAGGCAATATATAGTTTTCTTTCTTATATATATATATATATATATATGGAACTGTAGAAAATAAGAGGCGATAATTATTGGAGGCCTGTCTTGTCCTCGTCAATATGAAATTGACTCTTGGCAACCGAAAGGTAGACGCATCTACAGGATATGGATACCTAATTCATGAATGAGGAGACCTTTGTGTGCATATAGCTCCCACGAGATAATCAAAGGCAGAGGATCTTGTTCCTGAGTCTCCCCCACCTCTTCTTTACAATTATTTTGGGCTGTTTATTTTTATATTTAAAAAATATTTAAAAAAAAACTAAAATTTTTTAGTGTTTTTAAATTTTTAGTGTTTTTAAATTATTTTGATAGTAAAAATAATTTTTTAAAAATATAAAAAATATTATTTTAATATATTTTCTAATAAAAATACTTTAAAAAATAATCATTACCACTCTCAAACCTATTTAACTTCTAAGTTCTTCCTTTTTTGCAAAGTAATTGATGGTAAATCAACAGTAATTTCTTTCCTTTCCTTTGCATAGATTTGCCTTGAATTTAAAGATAAAAATCGCTTAAATGCATCTGTGCTTTCTTTGGTAGACAATGCGGTATAATTATTAATACCTTTAATAATTAATGATCAATATTAAGGAAGCTATATATGGCAGCATCAATAATTTAATCTTCTATTAGACGCTATCATCATTAAAATTTATAAATCGAAGACTTGCAGTAAGAATAGGCTCCTGTATTGTCTTGTCTTGGAAGGGTACTAATGCGTAAAAACTGTTAAAGACTTCTGTATAACAGAATTAGTATATGGAAAAAGAATCAGCTAGCCGGTATGTCGATTAATGGTACTGCCAGATCTAAATATCATACAATCTCGTTTGCATTTGAAATCACCACCATTTCTGCCAAAAAATGGTGGCGGCGATGTCAAATAAAACCTGGCCCGAACCCTGCTCCGAGTTGATATAGGTCACTGATTGATGCATTGGCTTGGGTTTGATTTTGGTTTTGTTTTCTGCAACTGTGATAATTTCTCAAACTACAGGCTATCTCATGCACACCGATAATATACGACCGAGCACCCTTATGTACTCGAGCTTAATTCTGACTCACCAAAATAAACCTAAAATATATGTGTTACCTAATCGTATATACCAGACACCAATACGTACTTCTTCAGCTTTTACTCGTTCTTTAGCTTTGGAAAAAACATTTATAATACACAAGTCAGTAGAATTATTTTGTAATGCGTATGAACATTATTAATTTTGTATAATACAGCAAAAAATGGCTGTATATGTATTTGTAGTGGTGATCTTAAACCCCAATAAGAAGATGCCCTTTGGATTTGCATGAGAAGATATACTCAACATGATGCGTAAAGCTTAGCTAGATGCTACCATCAATCCCATATGTAAACCCTCCAGGGATGGCCCTGCAAATCCAATTTAATTTTACCCGCAGGCCCTCTTGAAAAGGCTGGTTCGTCACCGCGAAGCTATAGGATTTTATTCTCTTTAGGTAGTGTAGGATATGGGTCAGGCGCATGCATATCTGCTCTGTTTATTTCTTCTTGGCTTTGTTTAGTTGAGCTAGAAAAATGTGGTCCCTTTATCAGTTCTTTGCTATTACAGCCAGCAGATACATCCATGGTCGTACTCGTGTGTGAAAATCTCTGTTAAAAAAATATGATCTTGTCAGTTTTACTCGATCAGCAAACTGACTTCTGCAAAAAGTATAGCATGCTCATAGTATGCATGGTTTTGGAAACATTACCATGCAGCTAGCTAGTGTCTTGTCTAAGAAGTGCTGTACTCAAAATAAATTAAGAGATCAAGTTAAGAGAGAACCTTAAAATTGATTGATTGCTAGCTAATTGCCTTTATTCTATCAATTAAATCATGCTAGATGGTGCAGCAGTCAGTACAATTCGTCAATAATATTCTACATAGCCTGGGAAGTAAATTAACCAGACCATCTTGCGAATTTGACATGGTTTTGAAACGTGGAAACCTCAGTTGCTTGCTATGAATAACTGTGAGTGGAGGAAATGATATATAAAACAGGAATAGGTAGGCTTTATGCACAAGATATGCCTATTAATTGCCACTATTTGGAGCTCTTTTTTTCCCTTTTCTTTATTTTGGACGAGCAGCGCTTAGAATTAGAATGTTGAAATGTCTCCACTGGGATATTGCTGGCTATTCTGTGGTCACATTTAGTTTTGTTTTTGGACTTTCATGAGTTTAATTTCCAGAGATAACAATGAAGACAAGTAGAGGCGAAAGATATACCTTGTGTCTCCACCTTTATTTTGAGATCTCTTAATTTTCATATATATTTCTATTTAGATCGTAGACAAATCTCAATCCTTCCCATTTATTTGTATATTAAAAAAAGAAATTTACTGAATGTCTACATGATTTATTTCCATTAAAAAATATATAAACTATAAAAAAAATTGAAATATTTGATACATAGTATACAAAGTTAATTGACGTATTTAAAAAAAAATAAGGGTTTTGCAATAAATATTTATGAGATATAGTGCTGTATAGGAGTATAGTTGCAATTGCTTATAGGCCAGGTTGTTTTTGTGTTTTAAATGTGTTTTTAAAAAATAATTTTTTTATTTTTTTCTTCAAATTAAAATTTTTTTGGTGTTTTAAAATTATTTTAATGTGTTGATGTCAAAAATAATTTTTAAAAACTAAAAAAATATTATTTTAATTTATTTTTGAGTAAAAAATATTTTAAAAAATAACTACAGCCATACTCTTAAACATGTTCATAGACACACCCCTGAACAAACTCGTGACGCATCTTGGTTATGTCACGAGTTGATTCTACGACCAACCTTGATATGTCACACGTTTTAAGACTATAGATCTTGAAACAATGTTCGTGTTTTTTAGAAGTTTAAAATTTTTTTTATTAATTTTTTATATATATTTTTAAATTATTTTAATATTAAAAATAATTTTGAAAAAATAAAAATATATATTATTTTGATATATTTTTATAAAAAAATATTTTTAACTGCAACTATTAATTATCTCACTCTCAAATACTTTTTTGTACAAAATTTTTTAAATATATATTTAAAATTATAGATATGATAAATTATATACAGATATAAATGCCCCTCAAATTAAAGGGTATTGTCTTTATATCTGGATAAATAAAATAACTTTACCTTTTTCTACTTCCGCTCTACCTTTGTCTATGGAGGGACAAAAATCCCTTCAGGCTTCTCCTGTCCAGTTGACTCAAAATCTTGCGAGGCGGTTGCTTCTCATTAGTTTTATTGCAATTTGAAAGAGTTTGAAAAGGTGTTAGGATTTATTTTTTAATCAAGATAATATTTTTTTATTTTTTTAAATTTAGATTTTAACAAAAAAATAAACAAGTTGAAATTCAATGTTAAAACCCTCTTAGAGTCATGCTCTCGTGCACAGCATATACAATCATACAGTTGGGATTTGGGATTTTTAACGGAAATGAGATATACATGATTTGAAGATAGTTGATTTATTTTTTATTTTCATTTTTTTTAATATAAGTTAGAAATAAAGAACAATATATTTGTATGAATAATAATGGATACTGAAAAGAACAACAATCATCATTTATGTGTGTGTATTTAATGTTGTGTATAACAATAACAATAATAATAATAATAAAATATGCTACACGTAATAAATAAATTATATATATACAATGAGTAATCTATGCACAAAACATCCTTTTCATAATAATACGATGATTATCTTAATGTGTAATATATATATTGAAAGTTACTGTCGTGGGAAAATTACAATTAACTAATGATGAATAAACAATACAAATCATACGAAATATTGTTCCATTGTCTAGAAATTACTAAACGAGCTAGATAGGAAGGGCAGCTTTGGGAGATCATATACATGTGGAATCATGGATATCGTAAGGATTTGTAATGATGAGATCTAGTGCCCTGAAATGTCAAATTCACGACTTTACTCTCAAGCTATACGTTTTAAAAGTAACTCTTGAAGGGAAAGAATTCCACTCCCATCAAGTAAAATAATAATGGGACACGTCCATTATCCATGTGCAAAAGCTAATCGGCCTTTTCTTTTCTTTAGGCATGGTTTTTCGAGTCTGAATTTTATGATTTTTGTTTTTTAATTAAATTAAATAAAAAATAATAGTAAATTTATACACATTTTAATTTTAATTGTTTTTTATTCAATAAAATTTATTAAACGATAATAATATTAAATAATTCATGGAATTTCACATGTTGGTTTAAAGTTTAAAGAGAAAATAATTACTTAATGTGCAGTGTTTTTAAATTTATTCTAATCTAGTAATTAATCCGATTTAAAACTCGAGTCAATTTTAATATTTTTAATAAATCAAAATAATATTATTTTGATAAAAAAATAATTAACAAGCTACAACTGGATTTTTAACAGAATCTTATCAAGTCAATAGAATTATTGAGTCAGTCAAGTTTATAGATATCTTTATTTTTTTTATAAATCTAACTCGATTTCAGTTCAAGATCAACCGGCTGGATTGAATTTTAAAACTATGTTAATATGTGCTAAGTATAGGTATATTGAATCCATTTTGTCTTTTTTATTAAAATCCCACGGGTATAAAAAATTATTTTCAAAAAACTGATTTTACAAAACTTTAATAAACTAAAAACATATAAAATATAAAAATTAAATTAAATTAAAACAGTCTTATAAAACCTAGAACAAGGTTTTAAAACTCGACTTGGTAGTCAACTCGGCCCAAAGCCCGGGTCACTGGTTTTGACTAGAACCTTATTTTTTTTATAAATTAAAATAATGTTATCTTAGTAAAAAAATAGTAAATGGATTATGAGTCTTATTGGATTAGTAGAATTTTTAACTATTCTTATTTTTTTATAAACTTGACTCGATTCCAACCCTATATTAATTGAATTTTAAGTTAACCCTATAGATAAACTGGGTTTTAAAATTATTATCTAAAAAAAAAAAATATAGCCATAAAGCCAGGTAATAAAAATATGTCCATTGCAGTTGAATATATTTTGAAGAGCACAAGTCTTTTAAGTTTCCCGGTTATTTCTTTTTGTGTGTGTGGCCCTAGCATGTATATGGGTTATTTCTATTTTTTATGTGTTCTTAGAATATTTCCCGTGTTCTTCCTGCGGGTTAAATTATTATTTTTTAATTTTTTAAATTAAAACATCATTTTTAGAAGTAAAAGAATACATTATCCCTTTTTCTTTTATTCTCTATCCTATAAAATATGTTGAATTATTACAAGCACAAAACGCATTCAATAAAGTGATTTTGTAAATCACTAGAGGGGCAACTAGATCATTCATATAACTCCATTTGTCACTTGTCGCGTCATGAAAAGAAAATTATATATATATATATCATCCATTACTTGTCGCATTAGTCATCGAGATTAACGTGGATCACGAATACAGGGTAAGTCAATCATCTACATGACATCATTCATCAAATCTTTTTATTCTATAATATATTTGTTATTTTTATAAGGATTTCATAAGACTAATTGTTTGTATGAATATAATGACTTAATAGCGTTTATCCAGGAATAATAAAATAATATCATTTTCAGGGCTGAGCGTATGCTCGAAAAGGCCCGTTAATTGACTTCAAAATCTGGTTTTTTCCGGGTGGGTCGGGTCAATTTTCTTTGCCCATAATTACTATATATTTTATTCCTGGCGGTCAACGATTAAAGGTTAAGCTAAAGTCCCCAGCAACATTGACTTTTAAGGGCGCTCAAAACGACACCGTATATCTTCTTCCTGAGCACTATTAAACATCCGAATTATGCGCGTGAAAACAACGGGGGAAGCAAAACATAGCATCTATAATTCTATTCCGTAATTGTTAACGTAAACAAACGAAGAGGTGAATTGATCGTCTGGTGAGACCTCTCCAGTTTGTACGGTCGCTTCCTCAATATCTTTTTTATTTATAGCGCAAATAAATTGCAAATATTCGGATCTGTAAAAAATGGGCGACGGGATTTTTGGCCCAACCATGGATCTGATGCGATCGGAGCCGATGCAATTAGTGCAACTTATCATTCCTATCGAATCAGCTTATCGCACCATTTCTTATCTCGGTGACCTCGGCCTCTTCCAATTCAATGATGTAAGCTTTTGAGATTTTCTGTTGTTTGATTCCTCTGCTTACCAAACCCTAATTATCTTGATGATTCTGTTAACATTTGTTTTAGTTAATGATTTGCGCAATGTGATTTCGTTGATTTCAGTTTGGATAGACTTCGATTGGATTTTTTTTATTTCAATGATTTCAGCATTGCGTGTTTGCAGTTACGAAACTGAACCAGAAGAACTTGAGTTTCTGTTTCGTTTTTTTGTTCTTACGTTTCAGATTTAATTTATTGATGGTGTGTTTTTACTGTTTTATCCAGCTTAATGCGGAAAAGAGCCCGTTCCAACGGACGTATGCTGCTCAGGTTTGGTTTTGATGTTGTAGAGATAAATTCTGTGGTGGAAAATGTCGTTTGTTATTTGTTAGGTGTTGAACTTTCCTTTCGCTGTGTAGATTAAAAGATGCGCAGAAATGGCTCGCAAGCTACGTTTCTTCAAGGAGCAAATGACAAAGGCTGGGTTGTCACCGACAAAATCTTTAAGAAGTAGCGATGTTGATCTGGATCGTTTGGAGGTATTATCGTAGATTTTTAGTTTTTTGGACTATGCTTTCTTGGAATTAGAACTTGTTGAGATGTATTGAGGCAAAGTTTTGTTTCGTTTTGGCATGAGAAGATGGCGCTTGGAGAACTGGAATCGGAGCTGATAGAGATAAATTCGAATAATGAAATGCTAAAGCACACTTACAATGAACTATCAGAATATAAGCTTGTCTTGCAGAAGGTATGGCTTCTTTTGCATCCAAAGCCTTTGGTGTGATGATGAGACCTATAATTCTCGTCGATCTTTATATAGCTCTGTAGTGCTTGAGATAATGATCTTTTTCCCACACACATTTGCACACGCCACACATTATATCTACTCGTAGATGAACCGGCTATTGGCCTCTTCTATGAGGAGAAACTTCAGTAACAAATGCTTTCACATTTTACTATGAATGTACTCAACCTGGAAATTTGAATATTATAGAAATTAGGATTGTGTGATTTACTTTGAAAGTCGACTGGAGCTCTGAAATGAGTTGTGTATTTTTTGTATCTCATGTCAGGCTGGTGAACTTTTTCACTCTGCTCAAATCAGTGTTGCAGCTCAGCAGAGTGAACTTGAAGCATATAACACTGCTGAAGCATCCATTGACAGTGCATTATTGTTGGAGCAGGTAGTGATTTTGGTTTTTTATCTCTTCTTTATCATAGCCACTGAAAGTCTGTCATTTTCCGCAAACTGATGCTTAAAAATCAACATTGTTTAGGAAATGACAACGGATCCATCAAAGCAAGTTAAGCTGGGGTATATCAGTGGTCTTGTTGCAAGAGAAAAGGCAATGGCTTTTGAAAGGATTTTGTTTCGAGCAACTAGGGGCAATGTCTTTTTGAAGCAATCCGTGCTTGAAAATGCTGTTGTTGATCCCGTGTCAGGGGACAAGGTTAATTCCTGCATTTGTTTGTTCTTCATTTCTAGAATTGGATATACAGACCTTATTTTGAGAAACTCATGATGTATCAATTTACAGGTTGAAAAAAATGTATTCATTGTCTTCTATTCTGGTGAAAGAGCAAAGAACAAGATTCTTAAACTCTGTGAAGGTTTTGGAGCAAATCGCTATCCATTTATGGAGGACCTTAACAGACAGTTTCAGATAATTTCCCAGGTACAAACTATGATTGCTCATGTGTTGTACCTCTGATTCTTGTGGATTAGAAGCCTGGCACACTGAAAATTAATAACTTGGTCAATTTTAGAGAGCAAACGATTATTTCTATGTTTCTTCTTGAGGATTCTGATTTCTCTCTGTTTCATCTTTTTTACCATCTGTTCATTAACTTGATTACTCATAAGGATTGTGAATTGCTTTTTCTTTCTTTCCTTTTCTTTCTGGCTTTTTGGGCACTTTACTGTCATTGGTCTGTGCAAACATAAAGCATACTCTTATTACTCAAAAGAAAAGGGAGTTCACTCCCTTTCAACTGGCAGTTAATCATTGGGACAGTAGATCCAAGTACAGCATGTTGAGGTTGAAACCACGTGCCTCAAGGTTCATAAGAATTTAATCTGCCATCATTTATGTCCATAGACATGAATTTGTTAGTGCATGGTAGTGTGGCCTTATGTGTGTTATTATATACGCATATAAATGAACGAGCAACAGTTTCCGGGGGGGTGGCGCTGAAAAAAAATCCAAGTGTATAAGAGACATGCTTTTCACTTGATGCTTTGGATAGGGAAAAGTTCAATGAACTGGACAATGCCCTTAATAATAAAGCAGCAGAGCATCATTATCTGAAGATATACCTAAATCCCTAGCTAGTTTTAGTGTGGAAGCAGGTGAAGCTGAATAGTTGTACTAAAGTCCTAATTCATTCACAAATAATGTTTAGCTGGTAGCAAACTGAAGATTTAAAAAGAGAGTGCCTTATTCCCATTTTTGAAATTAACCTTGAGTTTTTCTTTAGTGCTTTATCATAGTTCCACTAGCATCTGTCCAATTTTCTAGAATCAAGTTCACACTCCACTCTGATGTAAAATTTGTAAATTCACTGATTTCTAGGTGTCTGGAAGACTTGCCGAGCTTAAAACTACTATAGATGTTGGGTTGGTGCACTGGAGCAATTTGTTACAAACCATTGGCTTTGATTTTGAGCAGTGGAATTTTCTGGTTTGTTTGGGTCATTTTACTTCATCCTTTGGATCATTGCTGGGAATAATAAAAGTTGAGTTAAGCTGAGTTGAATCTTTTTTGGCAACTAAATTTTTCACTTTTAACTTGTACAGGTGAAGAAGGAAAAATCTATTTACCACACTTTAAATATGCTCAACATGGATGTGACAAAGAAGTGTCTTGTTGCTGAAGGGTGGTGCCCAGTTTTTGCAACAGATCAGGTTTGTGGTGTTAACTTGTATTGCTTGGGGCTTGGTTAAATCTTGCATGAACCGTAACTATTAAACCATCTCATGGTTGTTTCTCTACAGATACAAAATGGATTACGGCGAGCGACTTTAGACAGCAGCTCACAAATTGGAGCCATATTCCATGTTTTGCAGACAAAGGATTCACCCCCTACCTATTTCCAAACAAATAAATTTACTTCTGCTTTTCAAGAAATTGTAGATGCATATGGGTGAGTTACTTGGGTTTCAGACAATACAGGGGTTTTTTAATGTTTTAAAGTAATTTTTGGCAGGTTAATTGATTATCAGGGCTCTATCATAACTGTAGAAGTTGTCTGATGCCTTTAAGATAGGAATGTTAAAGCCAGAACTTGACCACTCTGTTAGCATTGACGGAACTTACAGTTTCTCTACTAATTGATTGTTTGTTCCTTGTTCTCTTTGAGCACAGAAATTATGGTAGTTGAGAGACAGAAAACTAGTCCATTGTTGTTGTTAGTATGGTCCATCTTATATGTAAAGTTAGTTTGTGACCAAAGCTTATTTAGTTGATATTACATGTTTTTGCATTATGTCTGTCCCACTAATTCAATACTGTTCAATTTATCTGTATAAACAATCTAGGGGTGGTTCTCTTTGTTAATACACTTTGCAGAATGAGCGAATACAGTTGACTAGAACATTTCTCCCACTCCATGACTTGTAATCATGCATCATTCTATTTGACCAGTTCACTCTTACAAAGATGAAATAGAGGTGTTAACTGACTATTTTTTCAGGGTTGCCAAGTACCAGGAAGCAAATCCTAGTGTATACACAATTGTCACATTTCCCTTCCTTTTTGCTGTTATGTTTGGTGATTGGGGCCATGGTATCTGCTTGCTGTTGGCAACATTATATTTTATTTTCAGGGAAAAGAAACTTTCCAGTCAGGTAATTGTGATACAGCTCGTGTCTTAGCTAGCTCTTCTATCAATTGTCGCATACTTTAGCTTACTTGCATTTGTAAACAACAGAAGCTTGGAGACATTATGGAAATGGCTTTCAGTGGCCGTTATGTGATAATGATGATGGCAATTTTTTCAATCTACACGGGGTTGATATACAATGAATTCTTTTCAGTTCCATTTGAACTGTTTGGGCCATCGGCGTATGGGTGTCGTGACCAGTCTTGCGGGTATTGACCAGTACAAATTTACTCGTATGCATGTGTGGTTCAACTTTCCCTGTAAATTAACCATGCTCTCTTTGCATTGTAGGGATGCTTCTACTGCTGGTCTAGTTAAGGTTCGCGCCACATATCCATTTGGTTTGGATCCTAAATGGCATGGTACCCGGAGCGAGTTGCCTTTTCTTAACTCGATGAAGATGAAGATGTCAATTTTATTTGGAGTGGCCCAGATGAATCTTGGTATCATAATAAGTTACTTCAATGCAAAGTTCTTTGGAGATAACATAAATATCTGGTGAGCTATGCTCGATTCCTGCATGCAATGCATTGATTCAAATATGTTACAGCATGTCCTTATGGGAATAATCAGCATAATGATGATTTCAAGTTCATTGCCATTCCTGAACATCCAGCTCTCATTTTTTAGAGAATTTGGTCTTGTAAACATGAATGTCCTTATTTGCTGTAGTGAAGAGATGGGGCCTCGGGGCCATGTAGATATAGATTCTTTGCTTTTCATTGCTTGTATCATTTTTTGCCCTTATTTCCATCTTTGGAATTGACTGGAAACTGTTGCATTGTTTTAGGTATCAATTTGTGCCTCAGATGATTTTCTTAAACAGCTTGTTTGGTTACCTTTCACTCCTCATAATAGTGAAATGGTGCACTGGTTCACAAGCTGATCTATACCATGTGATGATATACATGTTTCTAAGTCCCACAGATGATTTGGATGACAATCAGCTTTTTTTCGGCCAGAAATTTTTTCAGGTATTATCTCTTTTACAGTGATTGTGTGGAAATTTTCCCTCATGGTTTAAGGAAAACAAACTAGTTAACATGTCCTGTGTTTCACCTCTAGATCTTGTTGCTACTATCAGCCCTTGCTGCTGTCCCATGGATGTTGTTTCCAAAGCCTTTTCTATTGAAGAAACAACATGAGGAAGTATGCACAATCCTTTTTCAAATGCATTTGTTGCTATAGCTCTTTTGTAAAATATATCGTTAACTCTATTTTCCCTAAATGCCTTGTTTAGAGGTTCCAAGGTCAATCATATGCACGGCTGGACAGCAGTGATTTCTCTCCTGAAATCGAGCCGCATTCTGTTTCTCATAACCATGAGGAATTCGAGTTCAGCGAGGTGTTTGTTCACCAACTTATACATACCATAGAGTTTGTGCTTGGAGCAGTGTCAAATACGGCTTCATATTTACGTTTATGGGCCCTCAGGTTGGTTCTTCTAGTAATTACTTGATATTTATATTTTCAAGCTAAATTTCCGCCCTTCTTTGAATTATTGTTTGTGATTGCTCATTAGAATATTGTTGTCATTTCTCCGTTTCCTGTCTAAAAGCAGAGGAAAATCAATTTGATTGTTAAGATCTTGTGTCAATATGCCTTCCCTGACACATCTCTCGTGTTCAAAATGAATGTGGGGTACTTCTATGCATTATAGTACAGGAAGTTAACCGTTTAATTTGAGTGAATTTTTTTGTGACTTTTCAGTCTGGCCCATTCAGAGCTAGCAAGTGTATTCTATGACAAGGTTCTTCTTCTATCCTGGGGGTGAGTTCTCATGTCCATGTTTTGGTTTGTGATGAAAGCAACTTGACGTCACAAATTTGATCAAGCAATGTAATGAATCATCTGTGAATGACTGCAGGTACAACAGCATCTTAGCTCGCAGTATTGGCTTGATTGTATTTATATTTGCAACTGTTGGTGTCCTACTAGTGATGGAGACCCTTAGTGCATTCCTACATGCCTTGAGGCTTCATTGGGTAGAGTTTCAAAACAAATTTTACGTGGGAGATGGATACAAATTCTATCCATTTTCATTTGCTTCGCTTGGTGAAGATGATGAATGAGATACGTTAACTGAATAGAATAGTCACAGCCTTAGATAGGAAATAGAATTTATCATACATTGATGAAAGTTTACCAAACTTGCAATCCTGTTAAACATGATCAAGGAGCTCGAGAAAGATAATTGAGGAGGTGTTTCTGATTTCGGAAGAACCTGCTCACGAGGAACAATCAATTTCACCGTGTTCGTGGTTATTGAATCAAGCCTTGCTAGTGTGGCTGCCTATTCCCTGCGCGTGGATTGTCGAGATTGACTTTGATCAAGAGCAACTATAAAGGAAATTTGTTGTATGATGCGTCTAGAATTTTGCCAGCCAGTCATTGTACAAGCTTCAAGAATTTTTGCCAGCTAGAATTCATGGTGTGCTGGCTATAATCTTCGTCAGTGGGTACTGTTGTGCAATATTGTCTAGTGAGGAGAAGAAAGTAATCAGTGTTGAAAATAGACATTGAACTCTCTTTGTAGATGAGGAGTTAGGAATATAACACGACGTTTCTTAAATTGTTGAGAAAAATTTTCGTGGACACAAAAATAAATGAGAGAAGAAGAAAAAAGGCAAGTTGACATGTTGTGATGGCTACATGATGTTCTTAAAAAGCAATAAATACATTATTAATGAGATTGAGTAATGCATAAACCCTTAGTCTTATACAGAGAATTCTGACATAAAATGATTTAAGTACTAACATCACCTATATCATGATAACTTTTGCCAGAGATTCCTTGAATCTTACACTACGCTAGATACATATATATATATATATAGCGCCAATATACATCACACTTGATATATAGACGAGCGCGAGCACCATCTAAGAATTTAGTGCTTCAATATGCCATGGGCACAACAATCTACTGAGCTGTAGTGTGAATTGCAGCAACTGTTGAAACCATGGAATCTACACCACAGATATTGCGACCCCTGCAGATTTTGTAATAGCCATTCTCTCCCCAGTTCTCACCCCATGAATTCTTGATAATCCAGAAGGGCTTTTCCTTAAACCGGATAGGAGCATAACCAGCGGATCCATACCCCACCAGTAGCACCCCGTGATCCTGACGCTTCGAGCAAATGTACGGGCATGAAACTCCACCTACATATGTCTGCATAAAAACTGCATTGATCGCCACTGCACCATGGAAAGTAGAAGGAAAAAACCTTACAATTAGTGTGTCCAGTAAGAGTACGCAAAATAGAAAATCTCAACCGAAGGGGTTGATGAGAATACAGATACCAATGCCTACGCCCAGAGGTAGCTAAAATACCTGAGAGTGGACCATGCTTCACCAGATTCGCAGCAATTTGATCTTCATCGATTGAAACAACACTGAAGTTAGATACGGATGCTACAACTTTGCTCTTGTCAAATTTGCAAGTGCCACCGTCAGTTCCAGTGTAAGGATAGTCTTCCTCACGTTCAAGTCCACCAGCCTTGAGTGCGTACTCGAAGGCATTATTCATCAGCCCACCATCGCAGCCAGAGTCACAAGCACCATATTCTTCTGGATCACACTGCAAGAAATTAGAAATACAGCAGGACACTAAAATTAGAAACCATAACCCCAGTAACTAAATCTTCATGTCTCCCTCGTAAGCTAAAAACAATCCACTTTCACGTAACAAAATTGAAATCCTCGGCGTCTTTCATGGAAATCGAAGAAAGACAGGATCAAAAGCGTGGAAATAAAGAAGTCAAACCTCATGGTCGCAGTCCACAAGCTGCTGCTCACTCAAGCTCGCAAGCTGTCCTGTGGCTAAATAATGAGCTCCTTCTAACGCCCCGGTAGCACTAAAAGACCAGCACGATCCACACGATCCCTAAAAAAAACCCCAACATGATGATACAGACAGCATGGAAAAACCCGAAAGACAGAAAAGCTGGTCTGAGGATACTTCGCATCTACAACATGAGGGGAAAAAGAAAATGGATATTTAAAAACCTGGTCTTTGACTTCTGTAACGGCACCGTGATCGCGCCAGTCAAAATCAGTAGGTAGATCAGTAGTAGGAAGGATCGGCGCCTTGTTAGCGTCCGTAGGCAACTGTAGCCGCCGCTTCAATCCAAGGAACTGGCGGCGGAATTCTTTCGGTGTCAGGTCAGAGAACTTGGTGACGCCGTGGGCAGCGGTGGGGTCTATCATCTGGTGTTTCTTGGCACGGCGAAGATTAGCTTTGAAAACACCAAATCGGTAATCATGCTCTTCTTGAGTCGCGTATGTTTTGCCGAATTTGGATTTGAAAGAAGTGAAATGATGCTCCGCGTTGAGGAGATCATCCTCGCCGTCTGATACGACTTGTCTGATTAAAGGATCGTCTAGGTCGTTGGAAGATACCGAGGAGGCAACTGCGGACCATAGGAGTGTGAGAAGGAGGAGAGCGAGCAGAGAAAAGCGCTCCATTGTGTGGCCAGGAAAGTCTGTGCAGTGGAAGGGTAGATAGGAGATATTTGTAAGCGGGGGAGATTGTGGTGGCTGCCATTGTGATTGTGACACGTGTAGCTTTGCAGGCAATTTTTATGAACTAGGGGACAAGAAAGGGAAGGTGCGAAATTTGACTTTAGGATTTTGTGAGGTGAAATGGAATATTTTTAAAGTTCACAAAAAATCGGCAAATCTGTCGTCTTAGAAATCAGTACATTGATTGAGCTATTTTCAATATTTATAAAAGTTAATTTACAATTAGTTAAAGTAAAAAAAAATGAATTCTTTTGGTTAAAAATGTTAAAATTTTGATTTTATTATTTTGTTAATTTCAAAAATAAAAATAGAAAAAATAAAGTAAAAAACCCTTATTATAAATTAAAATAGATGTGAAAGATAATTCAAATTTTGTGAATTAAATTGAACTTACTTAATTTTTAAAAATATAAAATCAAACTAAACTGAATTATTCAAATTTATTCACTATTTAATTTGATTTTAAATTAAAAAATAAAATCAACTTGACCAGATTTTTTTATCTAAACCCGAACAATATGCTCACCCTTATCCATTACAGAATAATAATTGAATAAAATGAAAATTATTTATACTCAAATATATTTCAGTAAATGAATACAAAATTGTTAAAAAATAGTATATTGGGTTTGTAGAGTATTTAGTGGATTGTAAAAATTAATCGTAGTGTGTGCAAGCTGACTCGAACACCTCTTCGTATAAATAAATAAAAAAAACTTAAAAGAGAAAGACAAAAGAAGGCTGGGACCATGGGACGGAAGGATGAAGACAATGAAATGCCTGTTTGACTGGAACGGAAATTACCGGTTCCTTTCCTGTTTTGTCGTTGCTGGTGAAACCATGTGATTTCAAATTTGAATATTTTGTCGAACTTCAATTCACGCTCTACGGAACACAGACCCTGTGCTGACTAGGATTTGAATAAATTTTTGTTTTTATATTTTAAAAAAATTATTTTATTTTTTTATTTCAAATTATCAAAAAAAAATTAATATATCTTTAACAAAAAATAATTTTAAACAATCTTTATTATATTTTCAAACACCCTAAAAATACAAAACTAAATATTAGAATTATTAAGGAAGAGCGAGTCATGTATGATATTTACATTATCTTGTTGGACTTAATTTGTTAAGATTGTATAAAGTGGATATCATGGACAATAACAAGTTAAAAAGCTAATAAATAGATATTATGAATTAAGCATGGGTTGAGATTTTTAAAATCTACTCAATCTACTTATCAATATAATTCAACATAATAAACTCTAGTTTTTTATATATATAATATTTTTTCCTTTTTCTTTTAATATTTTTTCTCTGTCATCTTTATACTCACCGTTGCATTCTTTTAGTCTATTTTCCTTTAATTATCCTATTTAAATTTCGTGCACTTAATTACTTATCAATTTTTTATATCAGTTTTTTATTTTATCAATATAATCGATGCTCTTTTGCATCGAGATTTTTTTTAGAATAGTTAAAGAATATAAAGTTAATAAGTTTAATTATGAATATCTATAATATCCATAAAAGAATATCTAAGTTTGATATATCCAACCCGTTGGAGTTAAAAAAAAATAGGTCGTATTTATATTTTTAAAATATAAAAAAAATTACATGCAGTTATAAATCAAAACCTTACCCACTGCATTCACTAACACTCCTATTATCGACGATATCGAACGGGGGGGGGGCGCGGGGGGATTAAACAAATATTATAACCAAGTTTCGTTTCAGATTCAATGGGAAGATTGGAAATGATCACGCGGGAATGTTTAGTTGGTGATGATGCCTGTCATACTTCTTCTTTTTTTAATCTTTTTTTAGTTACAATATTACTGTTTCAAAACATAGTTATTGAATCCGGTTGGATTCGTTGCTCAGTCTAGCAACGTGTTATTTCAAAGTTTAGACGAGGCCGAAACAAATCTTGAAAATTGACCTAATTGGGTCAACTTGAAAGAAATTCCTAAGAAACGTATCTAAAAAAATATAATTCAGATAAACCTAAATGTACCCGAAACTATATCCCAACAAATTTTATTAGAATATATCGTCCTAGATTCATCTATTCAACATCCTTTTGGAATTAAATTAAGTACTGCATGTTTATTAAAAAAAAGGAGGAGGAGGAGGAGGAGGTGGTGGTGGTGGTGGTTAAGCCCAACCTGTCAACCATGATGCAAGGAAAATGCACATGGTTCTTGATCAGAAGAATAGCAGGAAATCAGAAAGAACTGAAGAAGTGGACTCCTTGTAAAACAAAGGGCCAAGGTTTTCTTGCTTGACAATCGGCCATGTCCACATACAATACATTATTTTAAGCCCATGACAGTCAAGGTAGACGGACATGCCGTACATTTATAGCCCAAACGCATCGAAACCCAGAGAGACGACCCTCGTGCAAACATGGCCCCATGGGGGGTATCTAACTCCGTATACATCCCTGAGTTTTGAAGAAAGTGTTCGGAAACGTGTATAACCATATTTTTAAAATTTTAATTTTTTTAAAATTAATTTTTTTATATTTTTAAATTATTTTAATGTACTGATGTTAAGATTTCTTAACGCCATCTTTTTTATTCTCGTCAGAATTATTTCAAAAAAACTTATCATGATAAAGAAGAAGAAAGAAACAAGCACATTTGAAGAGCACAATACACTGGAAAATTATATGTTGTGTTTGGGAAGGATGAATCCTTTCAAAAAAAGGAATCTATTGATTCAAAATATTCTATCACTATATATATATATATATATAATCATTTGTAAAAGTTATAGCAAGACTTCCCGCGTGAAGAAGACTATAAAGAACCGAAAAAAATCAGTCAGTAGGAACAGGCTACGCAATCAGTTGATTAAACATCCATTTAGCCCGGTGATGGTATAATCATGTTTATTTTTAATATATATATATATATATATATATATTTAATTGTAAATTATTTTTTTATTTTAAAATTATTTTGATGTGTTGATGTTATAAGTCAATTTAAAAAAAAAACATTATCTTAATATATTTTTAAACAAAAAATATCTTAA